CTCCTTGTGCCTTCAGTAGGCTCTGAATTGAATTTGCTAGATAACTTTTGGATTCTGATTGTCCCATTTTTTTTTCCCTAATGGACTTGACACTCTCTACCTTCTCTCACTTTTTTCTCTTTACCTTTTTTTTTTATTTTTTATTTTATTTTATTTTTACTTTCTTTTTACCTTCCTCCGGAGCACCGTCGCTACCTTCGACCTGGGTCCGGAGTTCATGAAGTGAACGGTAGACTTACTGCGAGGATCAGGCGCAGCGGTCAGTCCTCCGGAGCACCGTCGCTGCCTTCGACCTGGGTCCGGGATTACATATCCTCATCTACTTTCAGGTCCCTGTTCAGGCGCCACTTGTCGCGAGCCGCGACGTCAGGATCCTGCCAGCAGGTCCTAAACCTGAAAGGACGAGGACAGAGAGACGGGAGGCACTTTTCTTCTCATGTTTCTTGCTATCTTTATTACAGAACCTCTTCCTTTTATACTTTCCAGCTGCATGGGATTGAGGGCTACACGGGAGCGAGGGTACCGCCCACACATTCCAGAGGGAAACAACAACCATTATGGGTTACATCTGCTACCAGCTGAACTCGCCCGTGGCTATGGGCGAGAGCACGTCCGTGCCAGCGAGGTGACTCAAAGTTCAATCATGGCTAGGCCTGTGTCAAGGCTCACCATAATGGCTTGCCATAGATTGTGACTTTCACGTGTCTTTGGGGTTTGGGCTCATGCTCCCCACTCAGCTCTGCCAAGCTTTCTCTTGTTTTTGTCTTCCATTCCCTCTTGGCAGATAGGGTCTACCTGTGTCTCTGTTTTGCTCTGCTTCCTCTCTTTTCAAATCAGCACATTTTACCTACTAAATGCAAACCTTTTTCCTTTGGAGACAAAGTCCTGCTCTGTTGCCAGGCTGGCCTAGGACTCCTGGTCTTATGCAGTCCTCCTACCTCAGCCTTCCAGGAAGCTGCACTACAGGTGTGCAGACACTCAGAACCCAGACAACGGGCATTGCTGGGAAGTCCTCGAATGAGGTGCCAAAGCTAGAATTTATCTGCTGAAGAGTCAGTAGTGATGTCTTTTTTTTCTGGTGTAGGAAGATATGTGCAACTTGACATTTACACTTTTAGTCATTTTTAACCATGTAACGGTTTACCCAGGGGCGTGTTTGTTTAGGAGATTTGCTCAGGCAGCTATTATTTCAAACAGTTGATTATTGTATGGAATACATTTGATAAAATTGTTGTTTTATATTACCTGTTAGCTTATAAAATTAAAAATATTCAATGCTTGATCATATGGTATTTAAATAATTGGATGGTAGGTGGTTAAGTGTATGGTTCAGTGGAACCAGTACATGCTCAGCATTATCACTTACCTATTTCAGGCTTTTCTATCACTGAAGCAAAAGCCAATAAGAGTTAATCCCATCATCTCTTCCCTTTGCACCGGTAGCCACCATTCTGTCAGTTGTGGAAACCTCACATGAGGGAAGCCATGTGGCCTTGTCTGTCCATATCATTTGGCATGAGGTCCATCTGGGTTGTAGCTTGTGTGAGAACCCCTTCCTTTCGTAAGTCTGAATTCACCTCATGTGCAGGAGCAGAGGTGGGGAGAAGAGGGAAGGTAGGCTCAGGCAGTGCATGCTGGAGGCAGCTGCTTTTCCTGAGCCCCGGTGACCAAAGACTTCCTGCTAGGCCCAGCCACTTCCATTACCACCAACCTGTAGACATTCTATTTTTAACTCTTAGAGCAGTTGTAAAATGAGGCATTTCCCATCAGCAGTGTACAAGGACTCAAACTCCTCTCCTTCCTCAGGCACACTTGCTGTTTTTGGCTTTTAATAGTAGCTGCCTCTCTGGCTGTGATGTGCCCCTTATTGTGAGTTTATTTGCACTTGCCTGGTGACTGAAGATGGTGGGCCTCATTTTATGGGCTAGTTGGTGCTTGCACATATTTTTAAAAAGAAATGTCTCTGTAAGTCCTTTGCCCAGTTTTAATTGAATTGTTTTTGTTTGTTTTTTGAAACAGGGTCTCACTTTATAGTTGAGACTGACCTGGAACTCACTTTTTAGCCCAGACTGGTCTTGAACTCACAGTGATTCTCCTTGCTCAGCCTCCTGAGTGCTGGGATTCCTGGTGTGCACCACAATGCCCAGCTTAATTGAATTTTTATAGTTAGTGTTGAGGTATAAAACTTCTTAAATTATTCTGAATCTTAATGCATTATTGGATAAATGACTTGCAAATACTTTCTCCCGTTCTGTAGGTTGCCTTCTCACTGTCTTGTTCCTGACTTTTCATGGGCAAATTTTTTAATTCTGATGAAGTCAAGTTTATGAGTTTTTTTCTTGCGTAACCCCTGATTTGGAGACATACTGAAAAAGTCAGGTCCCAATCCCAGGTGGTAGAGCATTTTCCCTCTGGAAATTTCTTCTCAACAAGGTGTAACATTAGCTCTTGATGTCTGGTGGTTAATTCTGTAGTTTCATATGGTATAAAGTAGGGACCCATCTTCTTCCTTCATGTGTCAGTATCCAGTTTCCCCAGCACCGTTTGATGAAATGTGTGCTTTCCCACTGAATGGTTTCAGAATCTCATTAAAAATCAGTGGTTATGCTGGGGATTTAGCTCAGCGGTTGGGTGGCCTGCCTTGCAAGCGCAAGGACCTGAGTTCAATCCCCGGTACCAAAAAAAAAACAAAAAAACAAAACACAAAAAAATCAGTGATCATATAGGTGAGGGGTTATTTCGGAGCTTTCTGTCCCATCCCCTTGGCCTGGTCTGCCCTTACGCCCTCACTGCCTTCTCTTTTGATTACCATTGCTGTCTAGTTCCTTCGGAAGAAGTGTGAGTCCACCAGCTGTGTTCTTGGCACCTGGGAGCTCTTGTCCAGACAAGGGCCAAACCTAACCTCAGGATGTGCCTTACTGCTCTCTCCACTGCTGTGTGTTGCGAGGAAGCGGAGCATCTCTTCTTAGAAAGCATCTATTGCATTACAGTAACAGATGAGCTCACACTCAGCAGCCTCCTGGTCTTAGGTTTGTGGTGCTTAGACAGCTGCAGTCTGGTGAAGCAGGCCCATTGCGGAAGGCCCAGCACAGAATCTGCTGGCTGCTCACCTTCTCAGCTCCTTCTCTGACTCCATCATCTTCTGGGAGTTTCTCCCCAACAGTTGCTTTGTTGCATATTTCCTTCCTAAGATTAATTTTAAAGTGAAGTAAGGATGGAAAGCTTTCATCTATGAAAAGTAAAATGAAACAAAATATTCCTTTTTCCCCTCCCGGTCTGCCTTGTTCCTAGGGTTTGAGCATCTGCTTCTAGGGCTGGGGTATCAGTCTGTTACATAGCAGAACCCCGCTTCTCCTCAGTGAGGCTCTGGTTCTCAGAGCCAGTTCATGTCTCAGGTCCCTGTGTTGTGTACCCTGACCTTGAGGGCCTGGCAGTCTGCTGGGAGAGAGACTTTCTGAGACAGAATGCATGTGCCCACTTCATTTCCTAGATATCTTCACATCCTTCCTGTCCTCTCTGCCCATCTCTTTTGGTCATCCATTATTATGATTTCTGGAAACAATAATAACTGTTTTCCCTTGACCTCCACTGGACTCTTCCTGGCCCATTCCTGTACCAACTGACGTGCTCCTGGGCCCTCTGCCAAAAGTCCTGCTCCTCCTGTTATCTACAGAAGTGGTGGCATTCAGCGAGTCACTGTGTGCATGGTCTATATTGTGCTTTTCTTTGTAGCCTCTTCTGCAGCCACCAGGGGCCATGTCCCCTCTAGTCCCCTCGGCTCCTGCTCACTGGCCTCATCTTCCCCCTTCCCTGACAGGGCCATCCATGCCTCCACACACCTGGGTGAGGCCTGACACCTCTGTGCTCTGTGGGACACTGTGACCACTCTGCACAGGGATCGCTGCCCTGTGCCTCTCTTCTGTTAAGCAGCCTTCAAGTTCCATTGGGTAAAGGCTGCCACTTTTTAGTCTGTCCTAATGTGACAGTGTGTGGCTCATGAATGATGATGGCTGAGGTTTGGTGGGGTGAGTGTGTGGACCCAGGCCTGGGTGAAGGATTCAGTACACAGAGAACTGCTGGCTGACAGAGCCTGTGGTGTGGGCTTCAGTGCAGATCCCACACTAAAGTGTCACTGGCTCATGGGAGCCCAGGATCCCTCTCATGAAGAAGCTGAATCTCACTTTTTGTGCACTGAAGCTCAGGGGATCCTGCTGCTGCAGGGTCAATGTGTGAAGATAGAGCAGATACAACACAACTTACACATCCTTGCAGGATGAAGGTACAAAGAAAAGTCAACTCCTTGACAGAGCCACACTAGATCCTATCAAAATTTCAGGTGCTCACAAAACCTTGCTTATCAGATTTTCCATGCAGCAAGTCAATCTTTATATCAGATCTTTTCCTTTAGGCTGATTTTCACAGGTAAAGAAAAGGAATTGATCAGCGTGTTTTGTCTCTGACACAATACCTGCTATCCTAGGGCCCCTGTTTATGCTTCAGCTCTTCCACACTGCTCCACCCTGACTCATTTTTATAGAGCTGGCCAAAAATAGGAGCCATATTGTTACCCAGAGAGACTTTATTCAGAATGAAAGATTCCAAAGCATAGAAAGCCATGAAGGAAGTCTGAGAAGGCCTCATGCACTCATCCCAACAATAGTGGAAGACAATTGTTCTGCCTGTGCTGTAAGCCCGGGGGGTTCATGAGTCGCTATGACTAGCTGTGCCCAGTGAGTTTCAAAGGCTGGAAGTGAATCAGGTTAAATTTGTGAGAGAAGATGAGCTCCCTCCTTTCTTTTTCCCCTGTTATGAAGATACTCCTCAGACTTCCACCTTGGGAACACTGAGAACTTCCCTTGGCCCCTGGACACCCACATCCACCATCAGCCCTGCTGTAGTTGTGTCCTTCATGCCCAAAAGCCAATAAAGGTGGAACAGAGTCAAGGAGAGAAGAATCACAGCTTCCCTAGAACTAGCATGAGAATTAGTACTTGTGCAGACAGCTTCCAAGACGAAAATTTATGAGCACCTTTCTTTCTTTTTGTTTTTCCTCCTCCTATTACTCCCACCCACT